CTACTGAGACATCCAGCCTTGTGGACTGAGCAACTATTTTCAGCCTCTCCAGTGTGGAGCAGCCATTGTTAGACTACTTGGACTCTATCCTGTGAGCTAAGCTGACAAATCTCTATACGTATATATTCATTCTACCAGTTCTGTTTCTTTGGAGAACTCTGACTAATACACATAGGGTGAAACTAGTACCTGGAACTTTCCGTAGCTCTCCTCATGTCTGAAAATTGTTTGATTTGGATATGAGAGAAATACTGTTGATTTTCTAATATATTTAAGTATTTTAATTTGTAAGAAACTCTAGAAATTTTAGATGATTCCTTTCCCTTTACGGGTAAATCTCTTCATTCCTAGAGAAGAGGTATTTATGAGGTCATCTATTCAGAAAATATGAACCTAATTTGAATGTCAAGATAGAGGTACATTTTTTTTAAAGCTTGAAGGTACTGATTCAGTTTATGGTCTATCATATTTGTAAAGTTGAGATCATTTTTCATGAAACATAATAAACAAAATAAAAATGTTTAGGCTTAACAATGTTTGTTTTGTAAGCTTACTACTTGTTAATGTTTAGTTTCTTTACCAATTCTTGTTCCTCAGCAGTGAAATAGGAAGTCAAATATCTGTTATTGTGTATACATATGAAGGTGTATGTGTGTGCCCACTGTATTATATTTATTACTGGGTGATGGTTTATTTTTTAATAATAGGGTAGTAATGAGAAGTAACCTCCAAACAGATCCATTTTGCTTCAAATTGCATAAACTTCTCAGGTTCCATATCCTAGCTTTGGGGCTTTTTAATTCTAGAATCTTCTATATTCTGTGAGATTTTTGGTATATTAGAGATTAAATAAGAGGATATACCTCGCCATCCTTTAGCACATCCTTGAATTAGAGTTCAGGTATAATATTATCTGTTATTAGGTAGGTAATATATGAAATTATTATCCATATTTGAACCTTAATAACATCCCAAAATATACATTACTTTATTTCTGTGGAGCCTGCCTCTGTTTCCCAGATATATATGACTATTTAGTGTAAAATAATTAAGACTAAGCAAACAATTTTAAGATTCAGTTCCTCAGTTACACTTGCTTCATGCTAATTGCTCCATAGTCACATGTGGCTAATGACTGCCATATTGAACAACACCAAAGAGGAACCCTTTCGTCAGCACCCAGCATTCCACTGAACAGCACTGGGCTATGTGGATATTCACTCTGCTCTATCTTAACATTGTAGAAACCTTCTTGATTTTGAACTGTGTATTTTCAAGCTCTTTAAAAAGTTCCAAAGCAATGTGAAGAGTAGACTGCATATCCAAACCTCTCTGTTACTGCATTTTCCTTTCTGTACATCTCTGCATTAAATAATCCAGCTCTCATTCTTTGATCCCTTCACCTAATATTTTGGCATTATTATCTAACATTAAGTGAGAGTCACACTAGAAATAGCTTCGCTGTTGCTGCTTATATGCAAAATTATGCCTCTTCTAAAAATAATGACTTTACTGAAATATAAGTCATATGCCATAAGATTTACCCTTTAAAAGTGTACAGTGGCCTTGTGTATCTGACTTTTTTTACTTAGCATATTTTCAGGAATCATTCATGTTGAATATATTGTTATATTTTTATAACCCTTTCTAGATCAAAGAATATATATATGGAGTTATATTTGCTTAGCCATTCATCATTTGGTATAAATTTGAGCTGTTTCTACTTTTTAGCTATTATAATTAATGCTGCTATAAACATTCATATCTAAGTGTTTGTATGGACATGGGTTTTCAGTTGGGTGTCCACTGGTAGAGTTACTAAGTCACATGGTAATTCTATGTTTACAATTCTGAGGGCTTACCAAAGTGTTTTCCAAGGTGACCGCACCACTTCTGGTTCCAAGCAGGAGAATATATTGAGTTTTCATTTCTCTAGAGTATCACATCCTAGTTTAATTTCTGATGCTGTGATAAAATACTCCAACCAAAAGCAAGTTGGGGTAGGAAAGGGCTTGTTTGGCTTACACTTCCAATTCACAGTCCATCATTGAGGGAAGTCAGAACTCCATACAAGACCTGCAAGCAGGAACCATGGATGAACACTGCTTGCAGGCTTGCTCACTGGCTTGTTCATGTATAGGTTCAGTCTTAGCTAGCTCTCTTATACAGCCCAGGACTACTTGCCATGGGATGGTGCTACCCATAGTAGGCTGGGCCCTCTTGCATCAATTAGTAATCAAGACAGTCCCCCCACAGACATGCCCACAGGCCAATCTCATCTAAGCAATTCCTCATTCTAGGCTTTTCTCTCAGATGACTCTAGGTAGGCTATATAAAGGTGACAATTAAAGCTAACGAAAACAGTCACCAATATTTGTTATAGTATATTTTTACAGCCATCCTACTGGTTACAAAATGGTATCTTATTGTTATTTGGATTCCATTCTCCTAATTACTAATAATGTTGAACATCTCTTCATATATCTAATGTCTTTTTGTGTCATCATTTAAGAAATGCCCATTTAAATCCTTTGCCCATTTTAAATTGAGATTTT